TCACATTCTCCTCTGAGCATTTTGTGGGGACATAGAATGGGTTGATGTGAACATAAAAGTCCTATACCGTTTTGCGATATTCGCAATAATTATCGAGATATTAATTGTAGAAAACTTGTAAATGATCATGCAGAATATGGTAAATGAATTATAGTAGCGACGACTGCCCTCGTGTACTTATACTTTAGGTCAAATTGAACAAAAAGTCCTTTACCATTTTCCAAATAATCACACAGATTTTTTATTATTAATTAAAGAAGATTATTGCACGATTTTGCGTGAATGCACTCATCTTCTTTAATTAATAATTAAAAATCTATGTGATTATTTGCAAAATGGTAGAGGACTTTTTTGTTCAATTTGACCTAAAGTATAAGTACACGACGGCAGTCGTCGCTATTACCATAACTCATTACCATAACTCACTTATCATATCCTACATGATCATTTACAAATTTTCTACAATTAATATCTTGATAATTATTATGAATATCGCAAAACGGTATAGGACTTTTATGTTCACATCAACCCATTCTATGTCCCCACAAAATGCTCAGAGGAGAATGTGAGACACCCTGTATAAGAGGATTTCAACGACTTAACGTTTAATTATAATTGATAATTAATAAAAAGTCGCCCAATTCGGCTGTGAGCATTACCGAAAGGTATTTAGCCTTGAAAAATTGTCAGAGAAGGTAGAGTTCTAGAAAATTTTGCCAAAAATGCGTACAGGACGTTGCTGAAGTGTGCCTAAGAGCTTCTTCTTCGCTCCAGACCGTCAACGAGCAGTCAAACTCTCAAAGATTTGGCGTTTTATTATGTCCAAGTAGCCGGCAAAAAGTAGCTCAATTCGGCCGTAAAAAATGTTCAAAAAGGATTTAGCCCTCGTCAGGAATGTGCGAGATATCGCTACGGAACTGCTTCTTTCAAGACCAGGAATGTCATCACCGAACAGTCACGTTACGCACTATTTAATATGACGTTTAACGTTACAAAGCAAAATTTGTGCAATACGCACACAAAGGAAAATCGTGGAACGCGTGATAAACTACGTCAGCGTGTCAGGGACAAAGGAATGACAGCTAAAAGTACATCGTGCGCAGGCTTGCCGGTTATCCCTTTGGATACACGTCTCATTCAAGATCACCGGATATCCTTTGAGATTTTCGGGTAATTTTGCATCGAATTTCTCCGAGAAGAACACTGAACAGCTCTCGGAGTCATATTTAGCGATCAAAGAGGTCATTCACGAGTCAAGTTTCTCCAAAGGGAACAGGAGGGATGATTAAACAAGTAGGAAAACTATATATATCAGTTTATAGGAGTTTCCCAGGCGGATCCGTTGAAACGGCTAACAGTTTCTAAAAGTTGCGAGGATTTTTCTCGCCAGGCCGACTCGAAATTGACTGAGGGATTTATCATCGAGAAGAATAGCCGATAGTTTCAAACGCTCAGACGCTTTATTTCTTTGGCGTTGGATTCTGCAGCGAAATTCGCCGTACGCTGCACGAACGTGAGAGGAGAAAAAAATCACTCAGCTTTACGGTCGGTCGTAAAGTGAGGCTAAATCGGCGAATTACGGGTGGGTGGATCCGATACGACTCGGAGAAAGCTTTCTTCCGTGAGGCGGAAATATGCGGAGAATATGTCGCGACCGCGAGCTATTACGTGACGCAACGCTCTCCGTTAATCTTTTAGAGATCTATACCTTTTCGTATCTTCCAAACTTTTGCGCATTTATATCAATATTAAAAAAGTAGTATTAATATCTAATAGCACTAAGGCATCCGTGCTTGCTCCTTATATGCCATTTTACAAATCTTTCTGTTATGTTAGACTTCCTCTCATAGAGGGAGGAGGTTATACTAGGTGGTGGCGGGACAACGCCACCCCCGTGCATTCAGAACCTGTGTATCTTCTCGTTCCAGAGAGAGAAAAATGTCGAGAGCGCGGTTTGTTAGGTCCGGAATCGAACCCGAGTCTTTCGCTTACCGAACAACTGCTCTAAACTACTGAGTTACCTGACGCTCCACGCCTACGACATTCTCCTCTTTTTGGATAACGCGCAGAGATTCGGAAGCGACATTTCTGGCGCGATCCCAAACGCACGGCGACTACAGAGAGAAACATTGTTACTGTATAAAAATGGTACAGCTGTCAGTCTCTCCAAGTCAAAGATTGCTATCCTTTAAGACCTGCTGTTCATGTATAACCGTATAAATCTACCACTGTTCCTAGCTCTTACTAGGCAACTCAAAAATTCAAAAAATTCTAAAATTTTGTGTGCAAGTAAAGTAGTTCATCCGTAATACAAAATTATTTTTTGTTCGTGCGAAATTACAGTTTTAAGGGATAAAACACTCATTTGAAAAAATCGGTTTTTTCTTTTGAAGCGAATATCTTCGAAACTATAAGAGATAGAAAAAATTTTCCAAAGTGAAAATTGAATGATTTCAAGAGTTCTTTAGAACTATAATAACAATTTTTTTTAAAAATAGGGGTGGGGTTGGGGGTATACAATAAATAAACAATTAAAAAAATTTATTATTATAGTCCTAAAGTACTCTTGAGATTATTTAATTTTCACTTTAGAAAATTTTTTCTATCTCATATAGTTTCGACGATATTCGCTTCAAAATAACCGATTTTCTTCAAAAGGGTGTTTCACTCTCTAAAACTGTAATTCCGCACGAACAAAAAATAATTTTGTGTTGAACTGCTTTACTTGCACACAAAGTTTCAGAATTTTTTGAATTTTTGAGTTGCCTAGTGTTCCTTGTTAGGCGATTTTAAGTTCATTGTGTACCTTTGGATTTTTCCAAACTTTTTCTCATCAGTATACATAAATACCTAAGGTTATTAAAAAAAAAAGGGGAACAGGGAGGACGATTAAACAAGTAGGAAAACTATATGTATCAGTTAATGAGTTCCCCAAGCGGATCTGTTGAAACGGTTAACAGTTTCTGAAAGTTGCGAGGATTTTTCGCGCCAGAGCGACTCGAAATTGGCTGATGGATTTATCACTGAGAACAGCCGATAGTTAACCGATAGATCTCCTATTACGTTTGTGAAATCCGAACGTAACAGCTGGATGGGCTGTTGGATGTCACTGCGGAGCACTGAGAAAATTCGCTGAGACACACCACACAATTTGCCATAAGAAGCGCGCACGCACTACCATCCCCCGTGTATGTGCCTTCCTGTAAGATCCTCAATAAACGTAAACAGCACGGTCGTCGCCCTCGTCGTTTTCTCATCTATTTTTCGTAGCACATCCACTTACGCGCTCCTCCTCTGGTCTCCATCACCTCCAGAGATATTTCTCATGTATATTGGACCAGTCCCCCATATGAAATTCTTCCGAGCAAAGAGACTGCATAACTTCGCGAAGAACGTATATAACGCGTTGATCGATGTCACATGTGTATATAGTGTATATTATGTGTATAAGTCTCTAAGGAAGAATTCATACCTTGAAAAACAGAAAGGCAGGAGCCAATCAGAACTCGTGCAGAAGCAAAAAAGCAGAAATTGATTATTATTTGACCACTTAACTAGCATGATTAGCTTTTGCTTTTCTACTTTTATGCCAAGGTGTAAATGCATCCTCAGCGTACAGGTATATTCAAAGTCAGATCTTATATCTAAGATCGTCTCAAATTCATCTTCAGATGCTACACAGATCTATTGACTCTACGAAGTATCTGAAGATAAACTTAACCCTAAACCTAAACATCCTAAACATCAACACGTTACGTAAACAAAACATGACAGTCAACGAATTTCCTATCACTATCCCCCCTGCTAACCCTCCACCTCCCTGGATCCTTCTTCCTCTCCCTCTATGTCAACAACTACATAAAGGAAGACCTCTCAGGAGCAACTTGGCATCGGGTCGTTTCTCTTTGATGAAGCGGACTGAAATGTTCGCGAAACGTCAGAATCAAATAAAGAAAAATCCACGCGGCTCAAACCCGGAAATCAAATCTAACGTTACGCGTAAACCTTAAACATGGGTAAATTTTACCTGCGCATTTTCATTTGCTCACAATTTTCGAAAAAATTATCGAAATTCAATGTTTTTCTCTTTTTGCTTTTAATCGGTTTAGAAAACATCGAATATGAATCTACTGGTATTTTTGCGATTCAATGGAATTGAAAAAAGTTACAATGAAAAAACAAGATATGTTTTTAAGAACTGTAACGTTTAAGAAGTTGGTACAGATAAATTAGAATTCTAGTTTTGAATTTTTATGTTAAGGATTCTCTCTGAAGATAAGAGTCAATCTTGAATACAAGATCTTAAATACAGAGAAGGGGTGCCAATATGTAGTGGTATTTCCTCCTGAACATCCGTTCCACAAGAAACCATTACGATGACGTGTCCCGAGCTTTGAAAAACGTTTAGCGGAAAGTCGCCATAATGGCACGTAGTGGCGGAAAGGTTAAAGCATCGACAAATACGACCCAAGCGACACAAATCACTCTAACTTTAGGCGAACGAAACGAGGTCGCGTGTATTTCGGGGTGACCTTTAATTAGGAGAGCTGTCTCATTCACGGTGCGCGAGCGATGTATAATAAACGAAGTTTTAATCTCGCTAATAGGCATGTGTACATACGCTAATGTACATTTACATTGTGTCGTTCCATGGCCTTTAATATCTTCAATGTCAAGTGTTTGAATATAACTATGTTTAAAATTAAAATTATATTAAAATGCGAGCCGTTCTCTACAGGAAGAAATCTTTCAGAGGTAAAAACGTCATATTCGTATCTCTGATAATTTTTCTGTTTACCTGTGTTTATCTCCTGTTTGCGGTGCGAATCATATCACCGGTCTCGTTGCGGTTAATGAGAAACACGATGGAGGCGTAATTTGCATTAAACGGACGCTGCGCTTTGAGATCATGCATTGATCGCGTTAAAGGAAATTATCCCGTGATTAGGAGGCGCGTTCGCTGCTATCACCACGACGAGGTGTCAAGAGCGAACGCATTGTGTTGTAATATACGCGATTTAAAGTCAAAGCACCAATGTCCAGACACTAATAACATTGGTATTTAATCTTGGGTATTCTTATAGCTTCGGTTTTTAAATACAGAAATATTTCAACGTTTAATCTATTAACGCCCAAATGTGCTGAAATTTTACGTTGATTTAAGCCATTTTACGCAAATGAAGTCTGTTGTTTATAAAGAGTACCATTCCTACCAATTTCGATGTCGCTCTATCGAATAGCGTTGAGAAAATTAAAAAAAAAATCGCAATTTATGCAAAATTTTTGCAAAATAAAATTAAAAAACGCATGTTTTTAGGGTTAATTTTTCTTTTTCCGCTATTTTCTTCATAAAAACGTGTTAGTATCGCTTGGGAAAGTATCTAAAACGTGTTCTCGAACTTAAAAAATATGCCATAGGTATTTTTTTCAACAAATATGGCGGTATCAAAATGGCGGTCGATTTGAAGCGTTTAATTCGAATTTTTGTTTATATATGGTTATCGAAATTGTTTTACTATACAATTACTATATTAATTATTATGTAATTTTGTAGTAATATTAAGCCTAAAACAATTTCGATAAACAAAAATTCGAATTAAACGCTTCAAATCGACCGCCATTTTGATACCGCCATATTTGTTGAAAAAATACTTATAGCATATTTTTTAAGTTAAAATGTCTAAATATAAACAAAAATTCGAAATTGGTAGGAATGGTACTCTTTATAAACAACATCTTATTTCCGTAGTAAAATAAATGGCTCAAATCAACGTAAAATTTCAGCATATTTGGGCGTTAATGAGTTAACATACAATATACACTGAGAGAAAAAATGGTTTTAACTAAAAATGGATTTAACTAAAAAGAGTAGTAGTGATAAAGTATAGTACAGTATAGCATAATAAAATATTGTAGTATAAAAGTAGAGTAGTATAATAGTAATAGAAGATATACACTAAGAAAAAAAGTGGTCGATTTAAATTTGAAATAGTTAACTAAATGTAGTTACTTTTGGCCTTAACCATATTTTTTCGTTGTCCAACATGAAAATGGCATTTTGTAATAGTATCTTATATAGAATTTTGTAAAAGCGACATGCATATAAGGTTATTATATATCGCTAACATTGTAGAATTTAGAAAAAAAGAATTGTTTTCTCGACCTCAATTTATAGGAATTATTTTTCTATATGATTATAGTGTCACAAATACTCCAAACAGTTTATATACACATGTTTCACATTAAAAATTTAAATATGTCTATTTGAAGGCAAATCAACATGTGTGTGCAGAGTTAGGTATCGGCCTAGTTATTAGTATCCAAGCATCGGTACTTTTATCGTGTCGCGACGGCCATCGCGAGGAAATTCGGTCGAGTCGTAGACGGGAGATTCGGAGAAATTGAACGGCTACATGTCCGTTGTCTTACCGTTCGTGGGTTGGTGATGCTCCCGATATCCTGGATTATTTATAGTGCCTGCACGGGGATCCGTAACGACCCTAATCTTGGTCGGGTCGCCGCCTCTTCGGGCATAAATGCCCTCGTAAATGGCGGTCACCAATACGCCGAAGTTCAGGACAATGGCAGCCAACTGCAACGACAAATAAGAACGTTCGATTTACGGTAAAGCGTGCGATAGACAAAAATTCGGTCGCTCGATATCGGGACGGGAGCTTGGTTTGAGAATGTGGCTTGCGCCTCGTGCAAATTTAATCGCTGTCGAATCTGTATTCGACAGATTAATCGCCACGGGACCATCACTCCCGCGAGGGCTTTTCATTTTAGTGGAAGCGAGGATTTACTCTAGAATTGCGTCAGTTAACAATAGAGAATAGAGAGCAATTCATATTTTATTCATTAATTAATTCATTAATCTCGATGAAGTCGAGATTGACGTGAAAGGTTATTCCAATGGGTTTAACACGTTGAATGCCTTCGAGCATTCACCGGTGATCGGCACTATGACTAGAAATTTATTCCATAGTTGTAATCAGGTTGATTCCAATCAGTTATCTAGCTTGCATAAGACGATGTTATCGATTAGACGTCTAACGTAGCGTGGACTTGATTAATAATGATTATTAATAATTAGAACTTTATATTAATCAGTAGGATCCGATAACATTTTATATAAATCAGATAATTGTTTGAAATCAGGATCCCTGATCATTGGAATCATATCTCCTGATCAGAGAGCCATGGGGTGAATTTCTAATCAGGACTATAATACTACCGCGTCTCATTGAGTCACATATAAAGTGTATAATGACGTAATGATATTGCATTTATAAAATCGACAGTTCGTAGAAAACTATAGGAATGAAGCAAAAAGCAAATATGTCTTAAATTATAGTGGGAATAACATTAGATATTCCATATCTAATGTTATTAGTTCGTAGAAAACTATAGGAATGAAGCAAAAAGCAAATATGTCTTAAATTATAGTGGGAATAACATTAGATATTCCATATCTAATGTTATTAGTTCGTAGAAAACTATAGGAATGAAGCAAAAAGCAAATATGTCTTAAATTATAGTGGGAATAACATTAGATATGGAATATCTAATGTTACTTTAGATATGGAATATAATATTGAATTAATTTAAATGTTATTTTGATTGCAGGTTACAGAGATAAATTGCATTCTAATTTACCACACTTTTGGTAATTCAATCATCATGAATGTAATGTTAAATGTAATATTTTAAATGTTATTTTGTATATATCTCTAAACCAAATTATAACTTTTTCAATACGATCATAATCAGCTAGATGTCGTTTCGATTCTACATCACAGAGCTAACTTGATTTACTGATTTACTGTATTCTCGGTAATTCAGTTGTCGGTGAAGCTCCCGCACAAATCAACAGAAATCAACAGTCAACGTATAAACATCATGGTAATTGTATATCACAAAGCAGAATTACATCAATTTACCGTATTTTTGATCATTCAATCATCGCTGAAGGTTCTGTACGACCAGTGAGAATCAACGTGACAGTCAGTGCGTTCAAATATCACTTTGATTGCATATCGCAGAGTGGAATTACACTAATTTACTGTATTTCCAGTAATCCAATCGTCGACTGAGCTTGCGCACGGCCAATGGGAATCAACGCGGTAATCAACGTGTTAAAGTGTAAATATCACTCTGATCGTACATCACAGAGCCGAATCGCACAGATTTACCGTACTTTCAGTAATTCAATCGTCGGCTAAGCTTCCGCACGACCAACGGGAATCGGCGCGGCGGTCAACGTGTTCAAATATCACTGAGGCAAATGGTGAGATTCCAACGGTGAGGTTCTTATTGGCCCATTTACTCTCATTCGCTGCGGCGGGGATCCGCTTCTCGCACGCTCACGTCACAAATGAGCACCAAGCGGCGCGACACCATCCGCGGCCTGAACGCGGACAAAGACGCGGACGTGTTCGGAGTGAGAATTCGATGTACGTGAGGCAACGATCGGTTGTTGTTCTCCCGCGAATCCGCCATTTATTTCCTCTGCCGTTAATTGGCTCACGTTGCAGCAGGTCGCGTCGTTGTTCTACTTCGCCGGTGAGTCGCGTTTCCGCGTCGCTCCCATCGAAACAAACTGAGATCACACCGTGCAACTTATTCACCTGGAGTTCGCGCGAGCACGCACGAGGCTCCGTCGTGGCTTCTCTGTCGAGGAGAAAATCGTACACCGCGTCACACGGTACACACCTGTCGACGTTGAGGCCAGCCCTCGTGAGACTCTCCTCCCGTGGACGAGTCGTCCTTTCTTACACGGCGTGCGAGAAACTACGAGGAGATCGCCGTAGTATCGGCGACGACGAGAGCAGCATCCCGTAGGTGGTGCGGCCGGCGGAGGCACGCGAGGAAAGGGGTGGAAATTTAATTAGGGCCAACAAAGAAGCGGCGCGCGCGCTCGCTCGTCATCATTGTTGTTGCACCGCTATAATTAATCCGGCCGGCCGGCCGGCCGGTCAGTGTTTGCCGTTCTTTTTGCCCTCCATAGGGACGACGTCGCGACGCTTTTCTCACCCCTATGAGGGACATGATAAGAGAGAGAAAGAGAGAGAGAAGTGTGCCTGCCGGCCGTTGCTGCAGCTGTTGCTCGTCACCAACAGGTTCCCGGCTAAGCTGCTTATTTTCCCTGTCGCGTCGCGCGAGGCCCTTTTCATCGGGTCACGTCCTGGGCGCGCGGTCAGGTGGCGGCGAGTCGCGGAAAAACGGCGAAAATGTTTCCACGGGATGCAGGTGGGAGACAGGAGGAGAGACTGTACGGACGACGGAGGGCACTTCGCGTTCGGACGGACGGAGTTTATCGCGTCTGTCGCTGTTTCGCAACGAGTGGCCGCCTCCTGTTTTACGGCTTTTCATTTTACGCGTTATTTAACCGCCGCCGCTTAACGCGCGCCACGTCGGTCGCATTATGTACGGCCGGTGCGATCTCATTGTATTGCCGATAAAAAAGTCCGTCGCGGGAGGAAATACAGCGGCTGTTGTGTAACAGCGAGTCACGGCGATTCTCTTCTTTTCTCTCTCATTTTTCTTCTCCTTTTTTTTCTGCATTCGGTGCTTCCGTCAAGGATCACTCGCACGTTGCTTGAATCCCTGAGAGAGTTGCACTAAAGTCGTCTCGTCAATTATTTCACATTTCACTTCTCCGCCGTGAATTCCGATTTAATACGAAAACATCCAGCGTAACCGCCACCCGTAGCGCCTTTCGTCAGTTTTCAGCATTTCTGTTTGGATTTTATCAAATATTGAGATGTTTGCACGGAGAAAGAGAGAAAGAAAGAGAGAGAGAGGAGAAAGTAGCTAGCCTCTTCTCAGTAGCGATTTTAAATAACTACGCGATTCCGCCCGATTTTTTGTTAATAAGCATACTTAGATTTTTCTTCTTTGTATTGCTATTTTCTTTGAACAATTTTGGAAAACAGAACACGAAATATCTCATTTTTACTTACTTGTATTGTGAGCTAAACAGTTTTAGTAAATCTAAAATAATATAATATTTTATCACAAAATATTTCCGCGCATATATTGAGAAAAAACTTGAAAAGTTGTTTATGAAATATTAAGTTTATCCATAGAAATAAACTTTATAAGACACAGAAATTAACTTTATTCTATAAATAAATTTTCAAGTATTTTTTCTCAATGTATCATTTAAGGGATTGATCTCACTGAAATTATAATAATATTATAGTAATTCTCGGCGTCAACTGTATCTTGTTGTTCTAACAAAAAAATAGTAGTAGAAATAAGCACATACTATAGTGTAATAATAACTATAGTAGCACTTATTATTATCCTCAATGCTTATGCGGAAATGTTTCGTGATGAAATACGAGTATTATATTCTTTTAGATTTACTAAAACTTTTTTGAGCTCACAGCAAAAGCAAGTAAAAATGAGACATTTCGTATTCTATTTTCCAAAATTTTTCAAAGAAAATAGCAATATGAAAAAAAGAAATCTAGGTATGCTTATTAACAAAAAATTGGGGGGAATCGCGTAGTTATTTTAAATCGCTACTAAGAAGAGGCTAGCTACTTCCTCCCCTCTCTCTCTCTCTCTCTCTCTCTCTCTCTCTCTCTCTCTAAATGGTTTTCCTTATTTTCACTATGCGATTATATATTTATTAATTATATATTAAATATTTATCAATTATTACCTATTACTAATTTATTTATTTTTAGATACACACACACACACCTCAAGATATAATAAAATCCGTGAAAAAGTGCCAAAAACAGGCAGAGTACCGGCCGTTTTCCCATACGCTTTCCGCGAGCAAAATCTTCTACTTGAAGATGAACACGCAGTTATTTAACCGCCGGAGGAGAAGAGGAATCACGTGGTCGGATGTCACGGAAGATGCAATTTGCCGTGCTCTTTTTGCCCGCACGTTTCCAGCGTAAAACGTCGGCGCGATATTATCGTTAAACCGTACCGCTAACGCAATATCGTCGAGCACAAGCAAGGACATTAGCTCGACTCTCCCTCAAGCGGTGGCGCATTACCTTGCCTTGTTTCTGCTTGTTCATTCTGTCCAATTCGATCTCGTCCTTGGCTCGCCTCAGGGGATTCCGTTTCCTTTTATCCATCATGATGAATTGTCGACGACTCGATATATCTCGACGAAAGAAACAGTCTCTGTGTCGAAGTTTGCGCGGAAGTGGCTTATCATCGCCAGCCGGTGATACCGTACGGCCTGCCGATCGATGATCCGCCACGATGCTACATCTTCTTTAGTCTCTTTTCTCAGTTTAAAGATAGGGCGGGGAAACTATAGCTAAAGAAAAGCTATACACGACGAGGGAGAGAGAGGAGGGGAGGGGAGGAGGGGGAGGAGAGAATTTCGAACTTGTGCACACCACGACAAAAGGTGAAAGCGGCGACCGAACAAAAGGATATTCACTTGTCACAGAGCCGAGAAGGAGGACACGCCGAGTTCATTAACGATCGGCACCGAAACACTCACTGCGGGTCCGCCAATGTCGCCTCATTGTTTTAAAAGTATCCGTGAGTCGTAGATGCCCCGACACACATACTAAGTGAGTCGCATCGGAGGGGCTTAGGGGGACACCCGAG